GTTTTCTCTGCTTGATGCATGCCAATGATTTGACCCTTCTCAAACAGACTAACATCTTTTCCACGACCACGGGATGTGTCTTTCGACATGGTTGTTTAGGAAATGAGAAGCAACTCATTGCACCAGTTGGGGTTAAATAACTTGTTGCCAGCTGAAAGATAATCGCCCATGCAGTAATTATCCAATAGGAGGCTCGTACCTATTTGCTTAGTTAAATCCAGGTGGCGACTTTTTTTTTGGCCAGGCAGTGTATATCTTATTAGGGTTCGGTGATTGGCTGAGGACATCCCCAGTTATTGATTTCGGGGGAATTTATTTAGGAATTTCTGTCATTTTATTTAGCTAATTCAATGGTCTGTTTCCAAAGAACAAGTGAGAGTTTCTGCTCAGCAGTAAAAAAAAAAAAAACGTGCAGAGATAGGTGTTGCAATGCGAGACTGACAGACCAACCAGCCCACTGACTGACAGCATTTTAGTGGGATCTCTTAAAACACAATGGACAGCCTTCGTTCAGAAGAGCAGAAGAGAGCCCTAAAGCTATGAGAAGCTTGTTTTACTCAATAACTCAGTAATTACCGGAGTCAATTGATGTGGCAGGTGTTTAATAAGGCAAACTGTGTGACACCATCACCAAACTCACCTGGGGATTTGATTGGAGACTGACTGGTGGAGTAGTGGACAGGCTGTCTTGCTGCAGTGTAAGAAGCAAGAACAAAACATAAAAGAGCAGTCAGGCAGATATGATTAGGTATAATAGATATACATTAAAAGTGTGTGAACTTTTAAAGCTATACTAAGACAGCACGCACTCCAAACTGGCAGCCTCTCAAATACCTCTCCTTTAAACTGACGTAATGGCTTGTCGTAGAACACTAATTACTCAGCAGAATGTCACCACCTCTTAATGCACCACACAAATTGCTTAGTCACTCGTCACAGCTGTTGAGAGTTCAGGACGAGGCTGCTGAATAAAAAGGCTTTTACTCAGCCTGTCAAGCAGAAATGACCTTACAGTGCTCCTCTGGCATCAGATAAATGGGATTATTTAAATATATCTGTAAAACATAATGTAATAATTCGCGAAACCTAACCTTTCAGATAGTATGTTATCATGCATGAATCTCTCTTAATCTAATAGTTTCTATGTGTGCACAGTCATGCGTCTTACCTGCACCTGGGGACTTGCTGCGTCGTGAGGGCCCAGGGCTCTTAGTTGTCCGGTTCGGAGTAGCAGAGCGGCTGTGTGACGACTTCAGCACTCTGCATTCTGGGGGGACAACAGGCTCAGGGTCACCAACGCATACATTAACCTTCCCCTACAAACAAACCAGCTCTTTCTTCTCAGTCAGAGTTAATGTGGTACAGTTACGCCCAACAAGCTGCTGCAGCAGGGATATGACACTGGTGATGTTATTTATGTCGCATGATTTCGTGAATGCTGATGACACTTGATTATGAGGACAAAGAGGCAGGAAAGAAAACAGTTTTAAAAGCACAGAGGAACAAATTAATTAGCTTATTTTTTTGTTTCCAGTTACAGCAAGTGATGACAACATTTTCACACTGTGCATCATTATCATTTTTACGTTTTCAGCACCAGTACCATAACTATACTTTTTTGGATACTGTATCATGCCGATACCTGACCTCCCATAACTCAGTTAGGAAAGATGTCGTCCCCTCTCTTTCTCTCACCCATTTCATGTCAATCTATCTATCCTCTCTAATACAGGCAGAAAAGCCCCCCCAAAAAGTTCTTCAAAAGGGAAGCTGCCAAACTTGAATGTTTCATAAACTAAGCAGCCATACAATAAATGATTTACATAATAAAAAAAATATCTGATTTCATTCCAAGTAAAAAAGTTGATGAATATGATTTAACAGTAGGGGTACTGCTACATAAGGGTGCATAAGGGTGGGCCATGGAAGCCAGCAATAATCATTTTCATCATAAATATCTCATCCTATTGATAACCAAATTTTATTTAGACCAAAATATTCACAAAATTACTTACAAAAACAACAACATTTTTTTTATTTATTTATTGTGGCTTTCGTAGAATGTAGCCTGTTTCATCATGAAAACCCCCGCTTCTAGAAGAGGTCTTCTTTTTTTTGCAGCTGTGGCAGGAAAAAAAAGTGGCCGGCCATTAAATTCATTAATCTTAACTATGAACTCATGTTAGAGTGAATTTCCTTGCTAGGCCTGGACCTGCACATAAATTGGGATGCCAGAAAAGACAGTACAAGAAAAAGAAATCTGGAAAAGGCTTTAAACCCCAGTAATAATATAATGATCAACTATTTTCAGTCAACTCAAAAAGCTGCTCCCTGCTAGGCTAGCCAAGAGGAAGCCTGGTACGAGTAAAGCAGATTTTGGGATGGCCCATTCACTGGACCTCTTCAGGGGCCCAGCCATTTGTTTTGGCAGGCCTGGGACCAAAGACAGAAGTCTGATACACAGCCCTATTTTTCCTATCAAAATGCTGTGATTGGACAGGCTGGAAAAATAATTTGCTGGCCACAAAACACTCAATAACTCTGATAATTACTTTCACACTATATTTAATTACACACATTTGTTGATATCCTTGGTATGATGTTGCATTTCAACTGATCTGTAACTGATCTGAGGGGAATATCCTGTCTGTAAAGAGTCCCACTACCCATTAACACCTACATCATTTAGACTAGCTGGCAGAATTGAATGACAACAATCACAATTGATTTGTTAAGAATAGGAAACAGATTCTCACATCAAGATCTGGTGCACACTGGTGATACCGTTTACTGCCAGATCAAAGCAATCACAACAGCTTGTGTTTTCCTCTGGAATATGACAATTAGGCTAAAATGATCACCACACGCCATGAACACATTTGGTTTTTATGGTGTTTGCTGAATGCCACAGCTGATTTTGTGGTGCTGCTGTGTGTGTGCAGGGAGAGCAGATGTTGAAAAGAAGCTTGTGGTGAACTTGTCAGGGCTGTGTTAATGAGGGTGGGGGCGGTGAGAGGTATAAAGTAATGACACACACACACAGAGAAGAAAAAAAAACACGCCCACAGAAGCACACTCATATTCCTAATGTGTTCCCCATGCTATTTATCACCAGATGTATATTTCACTGACGGATTAAAAGGGGCTATCAATTTAGTACGTATCCTTGTATAGTGTTCATATGAAACCCTGACAAACCAAAGCTTTTTCTAGGGTGAGAAATTTCTGCTTTTGTTTTTTTTTGTTTTTCACTTTAGCTGCTCAACTGAATTCTCTTCTTTATACTGAAGAGATTCATGTCTGTGTACTCAGTCACTAACAAGAGATTTGGAAAAAGTAAGATATACAGTACAGGCCAAAAGTTTGGACACACCTTCTCATTCAATGCGTTTTCTTTATTTTCATGACTATTTACATTGTAGATTCTCACTGAAGGCATTAAAACTATGAATGAACACATGTGGAGTTATGTACTTAACAAAAAAAGGTGAAATAACTGAAAACATGTTTTATATTCTAGTTACTTCAAAATAGCCACCCTTTGCTCTGATTACTGCTTTGCACACTCTTGGCATTCTCTCCATGAGCTTCAAGAGGTAGTCACCTGAAATGGTTTTCCAACAGTGTTGAAGGAGTTCCCAGAGGTGTTTAGCACTTGTTGGCCCCTTTGCCTTCACTCTGCGGTCCAGCTCACCCCAAACCATCTGGATTGGGTTCAGGTCCGGTGACTGTGGAGGCCAGGTCATCTGCCGCAGCACTCCATCACTCTCCTTCTTGGTCAAATAGCCCTTACACAGCCTGGAGGTGTGTTTGGGGTCATTGTCCTGTTGAAAAATAAATGATCGTCCAACTAAACGCAAACCGGATGGGATGGCATGTCGCTGCAGGATGCTGTGGTAGCCATGCTGGTTCAGTGTGCCTTCAATTTTGAATAAATCCCCAACAGTGTCACCAGCAAAACACCCCCACACCATCACACCTCCTCCTCCATGCTTCACAGTGGGAACCAGGCATGTGGAATCCATCCGTTCACCTTTTCTGTGTCTCACAAAGACACGGCGGTTGGAACCAAAGATCTCAAATTTGGACTCATCAGACCAAGCACAGATTTCCACTGGTCTAATGTCCATTCCTTGTGTTTCTTGGCCCAAACAAATCTCTTCTGCTTGTTGCCTCTCCTTAGCAGTGGTTTCCTAGCAGCTATTTGACCATGAAGGCCTGATTGGCGCAGTCTCCTCTTAACAGTTGTTCTAGAGATGGGTCTGCTGCTAGAACTCTATGTGGCATTCATCTGGTCTCTGATCTGAGCTGCTGTTAACTTGCGATTTCTGAGGCTGGTGACTCGGATGAACTTATCCTCAGAAGCAGAGGTGACTCTTGGTCTTCCTTTCCTGGGTCGGTCCTCATGTGTGCCAGTTTCGTTGTAGCGCTTGATGGTTTTTGCGACTCCACTTGGGGACACATTTAAAGTTTTTGCAATTTTCCGGACTGACTGACCTCATTTCTTAAAGTAATGATGGCCACTCGTTTTTCTTTAATTAGCTGATTGGTTCTTGCCATAATATGAATTTTAACAGTTGTCCAATAGGGCTGTCGGCTGTGTATTAACCTGACTTCTGCACAACACAACTGATGGTCCCAACCCCACTGATAAAGCAAGAAATTCCACTAATTAACCCTGATAAGGCACACCTGTGAAGTGGAAACCATTTCAGGTGACTACCTCTTGAAGCTCATGGAGAGAATGCCAAGAGTGTGCAAAGCAGTAATCAGAGCAAAGGGTGGCTATTTTGAAGAAACTAGAATATAAAACATGTTTTCAGTTATTTCACCTTTTTTGGTTAAGTACATAACTCCACATGTGCGCATTCATAGTTTTGATGCCTTCAGTGAGAATCTACAATGTAAATAGTCATGAAAATAAAGAAAACGCATTGAATGAGAAGGTGTGTCCAAACTTTTGGCCTGTACTGTATTTCAACAAAGACTGACACCTCTGACACAAAATCTCATAATTCCTGAGGGTCTAGGTGGTAATGGGCTGTTTCTCTATCTGCCTCCACTGATTACACCATTACACCATAAACTGTTGTGCCTTTTTTACACTTTCTATTGCACAGGTCATTTTCTTCATCTGTATTCTTTCCATGTTTCAGTAGCAGAGTGTGTACTGGACCCATTTTGCAAAAGGAAGAGCAGCCTCTGTACCTTCAGCAGAGAGCACAGTGTGCCTTTTTTCGTCCTCTCAAAGACCTAATTCTTAAAAGTGGAGCACAGGAGTGTAAGTGGGACGAAAGCTCCAAACTATCTTGCGATGCACCATCACTCATCCTCCATGATAGTTAACACAGTGGGTGTAAGGATGTGCCTCCCTGTTGTTAGCTAACCTGACAAAACAAAACAAATTTAACAGGATGTTGGGGATGTGTGTGGAAACTTTGGACTGTTGCTATAATAAACTCCCTTCTCCTTCCCCAGAGGTTGTCCAGTGTTGGTTGAAGTTCTATTTCGCCTTGACAGTGAATGCATCTGCTGGTTTAAAGAGGTCATACCCTGCCTGAGTGCTCTCGAATTTCAGTGGTTCTCCCACGAGATAAAGGGGTGAAACCCAAAAGAAGACGTGCATAATATAATACTGTATGCCAGCCCTTGTAAATGTATAGGACTGATTCTTTTCTGTAGATGCAGGGCTGACTACTTAATCTACTGTATATGCTATGTATAAATACAGAAGCCGACTTTCCACCATCAAAATAATAATCTGAATGAAATAGCAAAGAGAATCACATAGGAAAAGAGCATGTCAAACACACCCACACACAGTCGCACAAACCTAATATCCTGCTGTAAACTTCCTAAAGGAAAAGAGCATTGCAAGCACTAGTGAGGGGAGACTGCTGAGGAAGGACACTGAGACAAGAACACACACACACACACACACAGTGACACACACACACACACACAGTGACACACACACAGATGGATGCTGAGTTAGTCTTAGTCAGGCCTACCAGTCATAAAGGCTGTGGAAGCCTTACCACTGTGATCCAACACAAAGTCGTCCTGGGCATAGCGGTACTTCTCCGGCCCGCATGCTATGAACACGTCATCGTCCCCAAAGAAGTCCTGCAGGCAGATAATCTGAAGGAGGAAGGGTAAAGAGAAAGACATTTACTTGTTATGATATTCAGAGGAGGCATTGAGTGAAGTAATTGGATCCTCAACATAAGTGTAAAAAGTAGCAGTATGAGATTTCAAATTCTACACAGTGGCCTTAAGATAAAAACATGCATGTGCACAACACAGTGCAACACAATATGCAGTCCTGCCGAAGGTTTCGCAGCACTTTGCTGTTTGGCAGTTGGAGGCAGTGGCCAGCAAGAAACGTAGCAATGTGTTAGCAACAGTAAGGATTTTTTTTTTAATCTGCTTTGTATATGTTACAGATAAGTAAAGAAACCCTTTCAGTGTGTATCTGTAAGGCCTCAAGGATACACACAATGCATTTTGTTGAGAAACACTGAAGGCAAATGTAGCCTTGTTGTGCCTGCTCCAGGTGGAGCTAATTCTGACTACTTTGTATATTGTTTAGTAGTTATAACCTGTAGCAATGCATTATCTTTTGGCATTTGACATTTCTGCAAACCACATCTATGTAACATTTGTATTTTACTGTGATCCAGATGTGTTGAAACTTTACATTTCTTCACATTTCAACAACACTGTGGCTAACGTGTCCTGCAATAGTCTGGCAACCTGTCCAGCGTGTACCCCACCTCTCGCCCAATGTCAGCTGGGATAGGCTCCAGCCCCTCCTGCGACCCCTAGCAGGATAAGCAGTTACGGAAAATGAATGAATGAAAGTGGTTAACGTGTGGTTAAGTTTAAGCATAAACATGTTTTGAAGACTCAATGTTTTGAAGCAAAGACTCGCTAAAAAACAACTGGTTTTGTTGTCTGCAGCTTGGCAGACATCTCGCCTAGTTGTCAGGCCATCCACCATCCCCTTCATCTCTGCATGACAAAGTTAGCTCATACACTCTTATTTTAGAAAAGTTGACAAGATAAGTATGGAACTTAAGAACGTAACGTATTCCTGGTTTGCAAAAACATCTATTGCCAACATTTTCATCTGCCGACTGAGTTTCATCTTTTCTGATCCTTTTGGATGTAAATCCTTAACATACTGTAACTATACACACAGTTATGAGGAAAATATGCATTTAAAAAGTACAATATAACCATCCTGCACATATCTACTATATTCAAGTACAGTACAAGTACCTCATAATTGTACTTAAGTGTAGTGCTTGGGTAAATTTGTTACTTTCTACCACAACTCAAGGCTGCATTCAGTTGTTGTAAGTACTAGAGTGGCTTCCAAAAAACCCTTAATTTATTAAAGTGGAAACAGACAACTTTCCAAGTTATTGTTGACACCGCTGTCGCAAAGACAAACAGATTGCTTTCCATTTTCCTCAGAGAGCAGCAATGGGGTTCTTTCTCTTTTACCAGGTAGAGTTACCACAGTTACTTCAGTTGTTCCAGCGTCTACCATTTCCTCGACTGGGAAAAGTAACGGCAAAAAACTTTGACTAAAACTCTCGGGTAAATAGGGATAGCTAATGTGCCAAATGGCTATCGGGGAAAATAAAAATGCTATCATCATGTGTTGGTTGTGCAATGGTTGGCACTTCCTCTGTAGTATAAATGGAGCCTTCTCTTTCCAGGGAGATCGTACCCAGTGGCAGGCAGCATTGCCAAGTGAAAGTGAGGCTTATAGGAAACCAATCTAAATGTTGATGGTGTTATTTTTCTATAGTCATTACATTGTGCAATCAACATTTATATTGATATTAATTCACAATGATAAGTCAAGGCAAAAAACTTTGAACAATACAACAACAGTTACCACATTATTTCTGAAGGCATGTATGATGGAGTCTGGTTCATCTGTGTTTCTACAAGTTTCAGGGATGTCACATGATTCTGCTTTGGTTACATGATCCTAGAGGCTTAAGCTGTACACATGTGACCACAGTATGTTTGGATGTGAACTAAGTCCTTCACTTTGTGCTCATTGAAATAGGCTAATTAAAATCAAATCAGTGTGATATAAGGTTGTGACTGTGCGACTCTGTCTGTGTTTGAGTGAGACAGACAGAGCATAACAGGACGAGGTCAAAACAACCTGATGTCCAGAATACTGCAGAGTCATAGGAAAGAGGTACAGTACAGTTAGCGTTTGTGCCGCAGGGTAATTTGTCTTGCTTCTTCTTTTCTGTCTCACACTGTGATCGTCATTTTCTCTGCAGCTCAGAGCACTTTTCCTTTTACACCCACCATCCACCCCTGGAGACAGAAACGGGAGTTACTTTTAAACTATGGTGAGTTTTGCCCACACACACACACACACACACACACATGGAGACGTACACACATGCAGATTATCCCTCTGTTGCTGTAGGTGGACAAGTAGGAAGACAAAGGAGGAAAAGATCCGTTCATTATCCCACCCTCCTACCACACACAAGTGCACCCACACACTGCCAGGCATATGTACTGTATACTACACACACACACACACACACACACACACACACACACACACTTGAAACGAGAGTAAGGAGGAGGAGTATGAGATGGCATAAGATTGTGGGCAGATGGATCCTCTGGGGGAGATTGGGGGCTAACACAGTGGGGGGAAAGTGTGTGTGTCTATGTGTGTGTGTTAGATGGTTAGATGGGTATCAGAGGGACTGGTGGTCCGGAAAAGCTAAATGACTACTAAAAAGCACAAACAGGGTCCGCAGTTAAAAAAAGAAGAGCTGGAGGCTGAGGGAAAAAGAGACAGAAGTGGAGTAGGAGTGAGACATGTGACAACAAAAATAGTAAAGGTGGAGGTTAAATAAATAAATAAATATCATTACAGTAGAGTTACACGTTCATTAATAATAAATGAGACACTTCACATGACACTTCTGCATGTCCTACAATCAGACAGCATCAATTAAAAATGAAACAGGATGCAGTATCCATAACATGCACATCAATTATTAAAAAACAGTATTCATGGCCGTCATATGCCCGTTTTGTCTAATCTTCGAGGCAAACCGACGGCCTCTTTACACGACAACAAATAAAAAGAATCAGTGAGAGTAGAAGAGAAGTTTCTGTGCAATATGTGTCCATACTGAGGTGTGGCAGATTATTGGAAGATTTGACATAGCTGGCGTGAATGCCATTCTTTAAATGAGCTCTCACGCTGGAACTTGGCAGCTGATCGCCACACCATACTGTCAGAGCACAGGTGTTAGAATCACCATAGCAACTGCCCACGGGGATAGTCCGATGTATGTGTCGAAAATGGACTCTGCTGTAGTGCAAGCTATGATAGTGAGACACTATCACATGCAGATATTAGCCATTTCTCATTGACCTCTGACCTTAGACTATACACTGCTCCCTCCAGTGTGCAGACATTATCAATGATAACTCTGTCCTGTATTTTTCCATCCGCTCAGGGGGCTGTGCTGCCACAGAGCACACTGGTCATTTTTTTAAGGACGATGTGAGACAGCAACACAGAGGACTGCTGAAGTTAGCAGTGTCCCCTGGCAGGGAAACCACCGACCGTGGTGACATCTGCAGTCAGATGACCTTGGTGACAGCTCAAAGGAACAGTTTGACATTTTGAAAAATTCGCTTATTTGTTTTCTGGCAAAGTAAAAGGTGGAGATTGATGCACTTCTCATATTTTTCTGTTAAATACAGTGCTACAGTCAGCAGCCCGTTAGCTTAACTTAGCACAAACATTGGAAATAGGGGGCAACAGCTAGGCTGGCTCAGTCCAACTGTCCAACTGCCTGGCAACTGCTCGGGGGCAGAAAATAGTCCAGCACATAACCCTGAATGCTGAATTGTCTATTTTATGCTTCAGTTTTTTTATGAATTAAACGGTAACACTTTACTTGAAGGTATCTACATAAGAGTGACATGACAGTGTCATAACTATGACATGACACGGTCATGAACTTGTCATAAATATTATGTACATGCCATAAACGTTTGTGACTGCTGTCATTCAGTGTCATTCTGTCTTTGTCATAACAAGTTGACATTAAATTGGTTTGGGATGTCCTTATAATGACAACTTGACATTAACCAGGATGACATTACCAGAAGATATCTTTGTCATAACAACTTGACATTAACAAGAAATGCAACTATTTTTGTGTTTATGACAAGGTGACATAATGATTGATACAAAGACATCTTCTGGTAATGTCATCCTGGTTAATGTCAAGTTGCCATAATCAAGACATCCCAAACAAATTTAATGTCAACTTGTCATGACAAAGACATCTTCTGGTAATGTCACTTTAATTAATGTCAAGTTGTCATAATCAAGACATCCCAAACAATGTCAACTTGTCATTACAAAAACTGAATGACACTTAATGACAGCAGTCATAAACGTTTATGACAAGTACATAATGTTTATGACAAGTTCACGGCAATGTCGTGTCATAGTTATGACAGTGTCATGTCACCCTTATGTAGATACCTTCAAGTAAAGTGCTACCAATTAAACAAACAAGATATATGGGACTTAGTGAGCTTCAGAGTTGCGGGTAGGTGGATTTTTTGTGCTAAACTAAGCTTACCATCTCCTGGCTGCAGCTTCAAAATTAAGGCACACATATGAGAGTGGTATCAATCTCCTCATTTCACAAGAAAGAAAATAAACATATTCCCCAAATTGTCAAACTTCTGCTGCAAGTCACGTGGAACTGTTAGAAGACCACAAGCCAAGCTCTGCATATTCACTTCTATACCAATCAAACCACAGCACACACTCTGACTAAACTGCCTCACATTCATTACACTCATTCGAATTCCAATTTGAATCCGAGGCCTTTTACAAGGCCAACTTATCTTGCTGCTGCCCCAGGACAGGCTTGTCCCCGCACCACCTGAGGCAGCATGCTCATTGTGAAGAAAAGAAACTCAGAGCTGGAATATTATCTATCTTTGTCGAGAAGGCCCCTGGCTGTATTCTCATTTACTTTCACCTCCACACACGCACCTCTCCCTCTGCAAGGCTCGCACTGCTGCGGCCTGTGATAAAGTACTTTTCA